AATAAATACTGTAGTCTACTGAGATGACAGACAAATGTAAGCAGTTTTCTCATTTAAGATACTCTGAGTTAGAGTACAATGGTGCTTGATGCTTTAACAGAAGACTTTCAGTTCACTTGTCACTTTCGTGCATAATGTCGAAGAATCGGGGACATTTTTGTTTTAAATCAGAGGCATTGTTTTGAAGGTTCTGACAAATGCTTTAGATACAAAATAGAAATGGGGGTTAAGCATTGGAAAGGAATCAAGTTCCTTGCCATTGATGGGACTCTATATCTGGATTATTTAGATCATTTTTTAAAAATTAAGTCTATTAAAAGTGGCTGAATATAGGCATATGAAATACAATAGCAATTTCTAGTTAGAAAATGAGATTTTTAAAAAATTACTTATTTTTGGCTGTGCTGGGTCTTCACTGTCGCCTGGGCCTTCTCTGGTTGTGGAGAGCAGGGCCTGCTCTCTAGTGTAGTGCACATGCTTCTCATTGGAGCATGAGCTCTAGGGTGCTTGGGTTTCTGTTGCGGCATGTGCTCGGTCGTTGCAGCTGCTGGGTTCTGGAGCAGAGGCTCAATAGTTGTGCACAAATCATAAGGTAGGTGTGTGCCAAAGTAGTTCAACAGTTTTAAACTGGTGTGAATGATTTTGGCAGTTATTCTCAATTTCTTCCTGAAAAAATAGAGATGAAATTCATTGCTTTAGGGTTTAGTAAAATGTCTTAGTTAATACTCTTTAGACACCTTTCTGATAACATGGATTGAGAACTGTGCATGAGTGTATACATATTGAGTCTCTTTACCTTTTTGGATGGGAAACTTGATCAGAGTGTTAAGAGATCACACAATATAGATGGAGGGAAGAGTAGTACTATTATATATATTTGTAATAGTGTTATGATTTTGCTATTTTATATATAGACTTTTTATCTGATATTGATTTTATAAAAATCAGGGTGTGGCTTAAAAAGGAACTGTTAAAAGTTGGCATGTTTCTCTGTTTGTAGAACATTAAAAAGGCTATGTGAGGTTGTATGTTATGTGCATATGTGCTAATTGTTGGGCTTCTGCTTGTCAAAGGTTGATTATACCTAAACAGTATGGCTGCCTTGTGCACTTATTCCTTGAAAAGATTCTGTAATGCAGTTTCCTTCCAGAGCAACTTTAAAAAATGCTACTGCATTTAGATGTTCTTCAAGAAACTCTTTTATGTGTTCTGACTTTTTTTCTGAATGATCCGCTGTATTTCTTATTACTCATGCACATAATCTGATGGTTGTAGTTTCATGATGTGCTATTTGAGTTATTTTGGAAATTTTATTTTCTATAAATGCTATGTTTTGAGCAGTAAAGTATAAAAAGAGGGAATGACTCTGAGCACAAACCAGATTGTTGAATGAGTCATGTAGACCATTCCCACGTATGTGGAAAAATTACATCACTACCCAGTTCTGGGCTTTCTATTTATACTATCCTAGGCCAATTTTTTTTTTTTTCCCTCTCCTAATCCAACTTGTCTTTTTTGAGGCAGTAAAAGCAAGCACAAAAGAAACTCATGGTAAGTTAATTTGGGTCAAAAGAAAAATGCTGTGAAATGAAGCATGCTACTGGCAAACTAGTACTTTATTCTTTAGAGTTCCAGAGAGACTTAAAAAATGTGTTAGTAAAGATAAAGAATATTCTCTTAATACATCCATTGTGTTAATTATAAAAGTTAATGATGGCATTTGATTTTTTTCACTTAAATTTATTAAGTAACCCTAGATTTTAAGGTTGCAGTAGTTTTTTGTTTTGTGTTTTTATTTTACTGACTAGGAAAGTTAGATTCACTTTTCTCCCTTTGAAAACATGAAGAATGGAGACATGGCAACGCTTTGAGGAGTGGATACAATTGAAAGGGCTAAACTTTGTCTAAAAGTCTTGTTTTGGTGTTTTGATTAGAAATTTAGTGAAACGAGCTTGTAATGGAATAGACACTATAATTTTAATCTCACAAAAAACGTATGTATACAGATGAATGGAAAAGAAAATATATACCATAGTATTGACAGTGGCTATCTTTGGGGTGTTGGGAATACGGGTAATTTTATTTTGCTTATATAACTATTTCTTGTAAGCAGCTACTCTTCTGTAAAAACAAAAATCGATCTCTTTAGAGTAGTCTCTCTGAGACATGGGCCTTGCTTAATATTGTAGTAAAATTCAGTGCACGATTAGAGATTTTACACTAATGTCAGGTAAGTTTTAAAACTCATTATTAATTTACATAATTAGAATTGCTTCCCATGTTTAGTGGTGTTTGGTCTTAGGAGGAGGAAGCAGAGAAATGCATCTTGACCATCCTATTCATGTAACTTTTTCTCCTTATTTTGGGCTGCCTGCTGAATCTCTGATCCACAGAAGTTGCCTTACCTGATCTTGCTTCTGCTTTCCTTGGCCATTTTCACTGCATGAGGTGTGGCAAGTGGTGTTCCTATCTCTGTCCCAACTTCCCTTGTGACATGGACATGTGATAGTCCAAGTGACATCTGGTTATTCCCAAGTGATTAGAGTATTCAAAGACGAAAAAATCTTCCCCAAATCATCAGGAATGATTCTGCTATGTATCTACTTGTTTTCTAAAATAAAACCCTAAGGTCAGATCATTAACTACCGTATGTGGAAAGCTGGGCAGTCTGCACTGAGTCCCCTCCTTCTGTTCCCTCCCGGCCCCCTCTGCCTCCTGCGCACCAAGCACCACAGCGGAGCACGCGAACACTTAAAGTCCAGGACGGGCCAGTGTTCCACAGCTGGTGCTCCTCTTCCTCAGCAGTGACGTCAGGCTCCCAGAATGTCACCTTATTTTCATAGCATTAAATAGCTAATATCAAGCAACTTACTTTGAACTGGTTTTTAAGCACTTCATATAGATTGAAACTGTATTAGTTTATTTAATTTATTTAGAATAAGGTAATTGGGGAAATTTAAAGCTGAATCATTGCACTGCTACGGAAATGAGGAAGTTTGTCCAAGGCTAAGCAGCAACTTAAGTAGGAAAAGGAGTACGTCAAGGCTGTATATTGTCACCCTGCTTATTTAACTTATATGCAGAGTACATCATGAGAAAGGCTGGGCTGAAGGAAGCACAAGCTGGAATCAAGATTGCTGGGAGAAATATCAATAATCTCAGATATGCAGATGACACCACCATTATGGCAGAAAGTGAAGAGGAACTAAAAAGCCTCTTGATGAAAGAGCAGAGTGAAAAAGTTGGCTTAAAGCTCAACATTCAGAAAACTAAGATCATGGCATCTGGTCCCATCACTTGATGGGAAATAGATGGGGAAACAGTGGAAACAGTGTCAGACTTTATTTTTCTGGGCTCCAAAATCACTGCAGATGGTGATTGCAGCCATGAGATTAAAAGACACTTACTCCTTGGAAGGAAAGTTATGACTAACCTAGATAGCATATTAAAAAGCAGAGACATTACTTGGCCAACAAAGGTCTGTCTAGTCAGGGCTATGGTTTTTCCAGTGGTCATGTATGGATGTGAGAGTTGGACTGTGAAGAAAGCTGAGTGCTGAAGAATTGATACTTTTGAACTATGGTGTTGGAGAAGACTCTTGAGAGTCCGCTTGGACTGCAAGGAGATGCAACCAGTCCATCCTAAAGGAGATCAGTCCTGGGTGTTCATTGGAAGGACTGATGTTGAAGCTGAAACTCCAGTACTTTGGCCACCTCATGCAAAGAGTTGACTCACTGGAAAAGACCCTGATGCTGGGAGGGATTGGGGGCAGGAGGAGAAGGGGACGACAGAGGATGAGATGGTTGGACGGCATCACCGACTCGATGGACATGAGTTTGAGTAAACTCCAGAAGTTGGTGATAGACAGGGAGGCCTGGCGTGCTGCAGTTCATGGGGTCGCAAAGAGTTGGACACGACTGAGCGACTGAACTGAAGCAGTACCTGATAGAGTCCACACTGTTAACCATTATATTAATTGACTGTCAATACCAACTATTTTTTAACTACTGAGATAACTTATTTCTTCCATTCCTTTCTGTTTGCTATGTATAGGCACAGATGAAAATGGTCTGGTTCCTGCTTTTAATTTTATCACATTGGTGGAAAAACTAATGTTTTATAAAGGCAGTATAGAACGGATTCTGGAATCCCATTTGCATTTTAGTTGTGTGATGTTAGGCAAATTAATCTTATTTCTAATGTGGCAATTAAAGTGATACCTGTTTTTATAAAGCTTTAAGGATTGAAAAATAACATTTAGAAAGGGCACCGTGACGAGCATATGCAGGTGTTCTTGTTAATGCTTGTCGCTGGTAGAGGTATTACCAGCCGTTGAGCACCCCCCTCAAAGCAGTAATCTGCACCAAATCTACCTGTCTGGTTTCTTGGCATGGCGTTTTTAGGCACTGCTTCTTTGTGTAAGAAGAAAAGTTTGCCTACTTTTCTGCTTAATGATTCTAGGCTTAAGTTTATTTTGTATTAATTATTTGACCCCCAAATATTTTCAATATTTTCAAATAGTTACTAAAGTATCCCCTTAGGCTTAGTTCTTTGCAGAGCATTGCCCATGAAAACTTCATAATTTCTTTAAACTGTGTATTAATAACATCATGAAAAATGTTGTCTGGTTTTTATTTCTGTGCCTGTTGCACATTTTGTTCACATCTTGGTTCTTTTTTTTTTTTTTCCAAATCTTGATTCTTCATTGTTACTTTACTTTATCTCTTCATCACATTGATTAACTTTATTTCTGTTTTTATTTTGTCTACCTCTTTATTCCGGGAGTTAAAATATGACATAGCATAATGTTTAAAGAGGGTTATTATTGAACTGTTGCAAGAGTAATATTTTAGGATAAATGTCTGAGACAAGATACTTTAGCTGAAGCCTGATGTTCGTGCTGAGATTTTCTGGGAATAAAAGAGCTAAGTTGGGCATTAGGCAGCATTAAATAAATCCTCTCTTGACAAGACAATTCACATTTCCATTTATATTCTCAGGTGACCGAGTTATCGATGTAGGATCTGAGTGGAGAACTTTCAGCAATGATAAAGCAACAAAAGATCCATCTCGAGTTGGAGATTCTCAGAATCCTCTTCTGAGTGATGGAGATTTGTCTACTATGATTGGCAAGGTAATAAATCCATTTGTCAGGAAATGCCAGGCACAGACTGACCAAAGACCTGGAGATTGGAAACTGCAAAATTATCAGTCACTGTTCCAGTGAGGAATCTCGATCTGAGAGTAGGATCAGCCAGTAAGACTACTGGTAATGATGGTTGCCTTATTTCTTCTGTCTTAAACAGGAGACTAATACATTGAAGTTACAGACTCTATATCTCAGGCCTTTGTTTTGTGTTTTTTTTTTTTTTTTTTTTTTTTAGGCCTTTGTTTTAATGAAGCAGTTTTGCACAAAAAAAATTGAGTGTTGTAGGCTCTTTGAGTTCATATTAAAATGTTCCTTAAATATTAGTAAACTTTTCTCTTTTCCCTCAATACCACTAAGATAAATTGGATCGCTGTATAATAGACTATTTGCTAATAATGGTGAATTTATGACTCTCCTAAGCTTTACTTTTTTCATCAGTAAAGTGAGAATACTGCAACCTCAGAGACATTTTGAGGGTTACATGGAAATGTGTGTAAAGTATCTATACACACGTAATATATACAATGTGTTCAGTAAATGGTACCTGCTGCTGTTATATAGCAAGCAGTAACATAATCTTCCTGGCAGCCTGGCAGGTTTTTGCCCTGCTATCTGAATTGGAAGTAATAGTGGCATTATTTCAAAGAACTCATTGAGGAAGCATATGCTATTTTAGGACTTAATTTATACTACTGCATAGTCTATTTTTAAGAAATTATGCAGGTCATTTTTTCATGCCCTATAGATTACATACTAAGTTTGAAAAACATGGTGTGGGCTAAGTTAAAAAGTTGACACTATTCAAGAGTCTTTTAAAGTAGGTAGTTTCTGCATGTAGCCTTTGCAGGCTGGAAAAATATATACTAAGAACGTTTTTAAATTTTAAGATTGCAACTAATACTGTTACTTTTTTTAATGTTTACTTTTTTTCCAGTAGGGAATACATGATTGAAAAAAAGTAAAAAGAACAGTAGTTTCCCTCACCCTTGACCCCTAACCTCTGTTTCTGCCGCAGCCCCTTTCCCTGTCAGATACAGGGAACCACTGCTGCTAGGTTCTTCTGACTCCTCTGAGAATTATTGATGCATTTGTGGCAGAGATTTTTTAAGATGCTACATTTGTCACATGTTAAATTTCTGTATGTATTTGGGAATATTTCTGGACTTCCATCCTTTCTCTAACCTGGTCTAATTGTCTAAGGACACACTACGTTATTCTAATATTTGGGAGCATTAGTCTTCTTTTGTAACCTTTTCAGCATTTTCTTCACTGGTCTTTTTCATTTAATGTTAGGATAACTTTGTTTATTAAAAAAGAAAACAAAACAACTTGGTAATTATTTTCACTGTTTGGTTAGATTTATTTTAAAATTGGCTCAGGGAAAACTGACTTCTTAATGAAAAAATCTTATCCAGAAATATAGTATGCATTTCCTTAAGTCATATCTGTCCTTCAGTGGGTGTTTTAAAGTTTTCTTTCTAAGTTAATCTAGATATTTTATCTTTTTTGTTGCTGTTGTAATTGCAGGTTTTTCTTGCATGTTCTGATTGATTACACATATGTAGGCTGTTGATTTCTGTTTGTTAATTTTGACCTTGCCACTCTGATGAATTCATTACAGTTTGAGTGATTTTCTTAAATAATTCTATGTATATACAAAGATATTATCTGAAGATAGTTTATCAGTTTGGTCTCAGATTTGTACTTCTCATCTCTTTCCTGCTGAATTTTAATATAATTACACTAATTAATATAATTGTTATATAATTACATTTTACAGTTATAATTATGTCATATTGGCTAGTTTTTCTAGTACAGTGTTAGAAAATGGTAGTGACAGGAGGCATTTTTGTCTTCTGACTTTTAGTGGTAATGCTGCTAATGTTTCTCCGTTAATCAATGTGCTGGGTCTGGACTTGGGAGATTTGTTTGCTTACCTATTTTAAACATCTTTTGGAGATAATCGTGATTTTTCTCTTAGGTCTTAAAATTTCATGGTTTATGTTATTAATTCTCTAATAATATTTTTCATTTAAAGTATTAGCTAGAAAAACTCTTTAAAACCACCTTAACGTGGTATTTTTTCTTTTGAGGAATAGAGGTTGCTCAGGGTATATTTCTTAGGCAATATGGAGTCAGTTTGTGCACGTTGTTTTCTTAGAATAATTGTTCATTCAGGTTTTCAGAGGTTTTTTTGCATAAGTTATAAAACTTTGTTTTATAGGGTACAGGAGCTGCAAGTTTTGATGAATTTGGTAATTCTAAGTACCAGAATAGGAGAACCATGAGTAGTTCTGATCGGGCAATGATGAATGCATTTAAAGAAATCACTACCATGGCAGACAGAATCAACCTCCCTCGAAATATAGTTGTAAGTTTTTGTCTATATTCTGTAAACTGTGTTGGCTTTGACTTAGCATAATTTTAGTGAACACATGAAATTTTGCTATTATGGTTAATTAAATAGCCTAGAATTAATTAAACTTAGTTTCTCTGCTTTGCGGACTTCCCTCATGGCTCAGCTGGTAAAGAATCCACCTGCAATGCGGGAGACCTGGGTTCGATCCCTGGGTTGGGAAGATCTGCTGAAGAATGGAAAGGCTACCCACTCCAGTATTCTGGCCTGGAGAATTCCATGGACTGTATAGTCCATGGGGTCACAAAGTCAGACACAACTGAGCGACTTTTAACTTTTCTCTGCTTTGAAGGATCGAACAAATAACCTATTCAAGCAAGTGTATGAACAGAAGAGCCTAAAGGGGAGAGCCAATGATGCCATAGCTTCTGCTTGTCTTTATATTGCCTGCCGACAGGAAGGGGTTCCTAGAACATTTAAAGGTAAGTTTTTAATTGTTTAGATATAAATGTTAATCTATTTCATATTAAAGTGACAGGCCAAAGTCAAGCAGCTTGGATGCTTAGTAAATTAAGCTTCCTGGTTACATACAGTAATCCACTTAAGCATTTTTCTAAACACCACCTTATTTTATTCCTTGACAGAAATTCTATGATCATATTGATCATGTTCTTTTCAGGCTATTTTCCCATGTAAAGTCATGTTAGTCCATGTAAGCCCTGTGTTCTTTGCTGATAAGGTCTGACTGTATTTTGTGAGCTTTGAGGCCTGGCCTCAGAATCCTTTGTTGCAAGTCTGTACACTGGATGTACAGCAAAGTTTCTGCTTCCAGCACAAGTCTCTACAGGTGAGAGAGTCAAGGCTTAGAATCAATGAAATTTTTTCTCTTGAGTTACACAGTTTTCATTTCACAGTTAGGTTGAAGGCTTTGAGAGGACTAATATTTTTCATGTAGTTTTCAGTTTATGTGTGAAAACATGACAGCTTACTCAGTGTTGCTGTGATACGTGTACATTTTAGCTTAAGACTATAATTACCCTTCCTTCATCCAGGAATATTTTATATGTTTTCTTGTGTCAGACTGAAGAGGCAGTGGTTCTTAAAACTAAAACTAAAACTTCTGTTAAATTTATTCTTAGTTGAAATTTTAGAACAACAGGGTCAAATACTTGATCACATTTTGCTGTTGTCTGTAATTGCAGGGATTGCATGTATGTATGACATTGTGTAACTTGAGAGGCATTCTTTAGTTTGAATATTTTCTTTCATTTTCTTGATATACCCCTTACAACAGATTAATACATATCAAAGAAATTTTTGATTGATTGAAGAAACTTGCATGAATTGAAACTTCAGAGAAGTTAATATTTTGAAATATTAAGACCTACATTTAGCTTTTTTTTTTTAAAGGTGTTGTAAACATTTAAATTAATTGAGAAATATTAAATGAGTTTTGTGGGAAGTATCACTGAGGATTGATCTTTAAGGCAGGATAGAATTTTGCAGTATATTTTATAATAAAAAATGATAGATTTTAAGGTGAAAACATGGTCTATGTGGATTTATTTATTTAAACTTTTTTTGTCTTTTAGAAATATGTGCTGTATCACGAATTTCTAAGAAAGAAATTGGTCGATGTTTTAAACTTATTCTGAAAGCTTTAGAAACCAGTGTGGATTTGATTACAACTGGGGACTTCATGTCCAGGTTTTGTTCCAACCTTTGTCTTCCTAAGCAAGTACAGATGGCAGCGACACATATAGCCCGTAAAGCTGTGGAGTTGGACTTGGTTCCTGGAAGGAGCCCGATATCTGTGGCAGCAGCTGCTATTTACATGGCCTCACAGGCATCAGCTGAGAAAAGGACCCAAAAAGGTAAGATTCTTCATCAGGAGGAGTATTGATAAAATTGTGAAGACTGTAGTATGTGATTGTATTTACATTTTAAGTTATGAATCAGGTACAGCCATACCTCATTCTGTTGTACTTCACAGACATTGCATTTTTTTTTTTTACAAATAGAAGATTTATGGCAATTCTGTTTTTCAGATGATGGTTAACATTTTTCTTTTTTAGTAATAAATATTTTTAAATTAAGGTATGTGCATTCTTTTTTAAGACAAAATTATTTTGCACACTTAATAAACGATAGTGTAAACATAATTTTTTATTATGTACTAGAAAACCAAAAAATTCATGTGTTTGGCTTTGTTGCAATATTGGCTTTATTTTAGGGGTCTGGAACTGAACCTGCAGTTCTCTGAGGTGTGACAGTAAATATCCAGGGCCCATGTTGAAGAGGTAGTTAGTTCCTTAGCATCAAAACTTAAGAAAATACAATATTTTGCTTTTAAGTGGCTCATAAGTAAAAAATATTTGCAGGCATAACCCCATGTACTTAACTTTTTTCTTCATTTGAATTAAGTAATTTTAGTTCATACATTTTTTCATTTTTAGAAGTTGTTTTTATTTGTACCCCCTAAATATTTCTGGCTATTTGGAATAGTCTTGTTTTTTTCCACCTCAAAACTTACCTTTTAAATCTTGATAGAAGGCAGCCATGCTTTGTTTCTCTGGAGCTGGCATGGTACCCTACAGATAGGCACACTATAAATGTGTGCTGACCATCAAGTTTTAACTTTCTGTGAAATCTATTCCCGTTCTTTTGTATGCTGTTCACAGTTTCTTCATGAAAATACTGTTCAGCCTTCAGCTATTTTTTAATTTACTATTGTAGAACTTTGAGACAAATACTAAGTGAATTTCTTTACAAGCATATATTTATTAATTACTTCTATGATCCTCAAAAAGTTTTATAAAGAAAAAGGAGCGGTCAGTTCTAAATTTAAAAGTGAGGTAGTGAAATTACTTGCTGCAATAACTTTTTAATACCCTATTCAGAATAGCCTTTTACCTCAGCTTAGGCTGTATGTTCCTATGTTAATAAAAGTAATAAATTATATAGAAGAATGATTAGACAAAAGAAGCCAGCCATTAGTTATTTAAATGTGCCATTATCCATTCCCTTTGGGCTCCACTTGTATTTTCCAAGAAAATTTTGAGTCTTCTGGAAAAATTGAGAAGCTGTGGCTGGGCAGATTGTCCTGACCTTCATTCCTATTAATAGTTGTAAAGTTTTTTCTAATCATCTTGACAATTTCTGTTCATGTTTCACATGAAGGGTTTTCTTGAAATATAAGGTCCTTTCTTTCCCTGCTCAGCAGCTAGTTGATAGACATATAGTTGACATTCATCGGTATTTATGTCCAGAAAAATATAATGTAACATAAGGTAAGGAAATTTAAAATTATTTACTGATGGCCACATCCACGCTTTGAAGCCATAAAATCTCACCAATTCGAACTGGCTCTGAAAAGATAAAATGAGGTTGTATTAAAGGATGTGTTTAAAAAATCTATTTTGATTGTGTATAACTAACCAAATAATTGTCATGTGGCAGTCCTTTGGGACTTCATTTAAAAAAAGAAAGAAGTGACACTTGAGTTTGGTAAGTGCAGATCCTTGGATTCTTTAATAGACTATAGATATAACTCAATGAGCTCAATATATATGCTCCAGTATGTGTTTATAATAGTGAAAACCATGTACATCATGCTGTAATATATAGCTATTTGATCTCAGATGTGTTAAATAGAAAAAAGAGTTAGAAGAAAAATATAGTGTGGTCCCATTTGGTTTTAACCTTATAAGAACCTCTTAATAGAGGTTTGCTAGGGGAGATGTAGAGAAACTTTAAAACACGAATAATAAAATGAAGTTCTTTACAAGAATGTATTCGTGGATGACTTCTGTGATCCTCAAAAAAATGTTACTGTGAAGAAGTCTGTTCTATATACAGTGAGCAACATAATAGTTACCACACATTCTGCTATGCCCTGAACTGTTCAGATGTTTTACATATAGTAAACTTCTTAATGTTAATACAACAACCCTTTGAGATAATAGGTATTGAGGCCATTGTTGTTGTTACTGTAGCCCTACTTTCTACTTTTTAACTATTAAAAATATTTTTGTTTTCTTTTTCACTTAAGACATTTTACACTACCAGGTCCCAAAATTAGAATGCAGGTAGAAGGGAGGTAGGATGGAAGTTATTCTTAATACTTTGATATTTGTCTTTTAGAGATTGGAGATATTGCTGGTGTTGCTGATGTTACAATCAGACAGTCGTACAGACTAATCTATCCTCGGGCCCCAGATCTGTTTCCTACAGACTTCAAATTTGACACCCCTGTGGACAAACTACCACAGCTATAAGTTGAGGAAGCTAATGTGAAATTCCTGTGAACACTGAACTTTGCCTGTTGTACATAGCCTATATACCAAGTGCTGGATTGAGCCTTTAATAAGGAAGAACGAAAGACATGGTACGCATTCCAGGGCTAAATATAAAAATTGCTTGGCATTCTGTATATATATACTAGTGAAACATATTTAATGATTTAAATTTCATATTAAACTTGCTTTCTTTTGTAGCAATCTAGGAAACTGTATTTTGGAAGATATTTGAAATTCTTGAATAAAACGTTTTTCAAAACTAAAGTTTTTGTTATGTTACATGTAATTTTTAATTTATATATATAATTACATGTAATGCATATTGCAGCTAATAAAACTGATAGAGGTCCTTGTTTTCCATTCCTTTTTTCATATATATTTAATTTCCTTATTTTAATAAAGTTCTGGAAGTAACAGGCTTTTGAGGAACCACTGTTGAACATATTTAGTTTGTGGTTTGAAAGAGGGTATGTGTGTGATTTTTTAATACTTGTATATTAATAAGCAAGAAGTGATTAAACAGGGCCTTGAAAGGCACTGGCTTTAGAAATGTAAGAATGTGTAAGTATGTGTTTTTTCTCAGTGAGCTAAATGAGTGGAATATGATGCTAGTAAGTAATTAGTAGAGACAGATTTCAATTTTTAGATGTTTACATTTCAGTCTATAGAATCTGCATATCTATAGTTCTTTGTTATTTTTACATTTTGGATACTCTTAAACAGTATTTAAAATGGAAACTATTGGGCCTAAGGATGTCCAGGAATTTTTTTTATCAAGCACCTTCCCCCTCGGTGGTTGTGATATGAAGATGTTTTGCATGTCACTGTCTGATGAACACTAATTTAAGGTTTCTTGACTGCTAGGCAGTGTAAGCAAAGACCAACAACATTTGCCCTTTTGCTAGTTAGGTAGTTGGTACCGGGGTCTTGAATCCATGCCAGAAGTCTCTGTAAACTGTCCTGCTTCCAGTGGGTCCCATGGTTCTTACCCATCTGGACAGAGGCTCACGCCAGGTTGGGCTTCCCTGGTGGTTCAGACAGTAAAGAATCCGCTTGCAGTGCAGCAGGCCAGGGTCAGTCCCTGGGTACGGAAGATTCCCTGGAGGAGGCAGTGGCTATCCACTCCAGTATTCTTGCCTGGAGAATTCCATGGACAGAGGAGCCTGGTGGGCTCCAGTCCATGGGGTCACACAGAGTCAGACACGACTGAGTGACTAACACTTCACTTCTCAGTACTAACTAGATTTAAAAGACAGTCTCCTGTTGTGGTCTTGGTGAGCAAATTCCAGCCCTGGTCCAGGAAGGAACTTTCCCTATTAGAAGATCAGACCTCTCTTGTCATATTTCTGTTGACCACGGAAGGGGAAAGGTATCAGACGATGAAGACAAATGATACTTCTCCCTTGCACAAAATGTAGGACATTGACATAGCACTACTCACAGCTGTGGGAGAATACTAGACAAATCGACACAAGAACACTATAACCCAAATAAAGGATTGCAAGGATAGTGATGAAATGTAGACGCCAGGCACGTAGAGCCTATCTCACTCAGAGTGGGACCTAGGAAGAAAAGAAATCCTAGGTTAGTCTCCCTGGGCATCACGTTTGGTCCCCAGCACCACACATCTCCTTTCCAAGTGTAGACTGAGGGCAGTAGCCTCCCTCCTCTAATACTCAAGTTTCTAGTGTTGACCACAAAACTACTGTTCAGTAATGACATTCTGCAAGCTGCAACCAGATTAGATCTTTTTAAAAGTTATTTTTGCAGTTATCAAAGGTTAGTGTAATGCATTTCTGTAATGCATTACAGAAATTTGGAAAATGCATAATGAAAACACCCATAAGCCACCCAGAAATAGTCACCAGCATTTTGGTATTTATTTTCTTTCTAGCTGTTATATTTTATTTTTAAAATAAAGCTGCAGTTTGGGTATAGTAATATGATTTGTTTAGTCTTTTCATTTTACTGGCTAAAAAAATGTATTCAGTCCAGTCACTCAGTCGTGTCTGACTCTTTGCAACCCCATGGACTGCAGCATTCCCGGCCTCCCTGTCCATCACCAACTCCCAGAGTTTACTCAAACTCATGTCCATTGAGTTGGTGATGCCATCCAACCATCTCATCCTCTGTCGTCCCCTTCCCCTCCTGCCTTCAATCTTTCCCAGCATCAGGGTCTTTTCAAATGAGTCAGCTCTTCGCACCAGGTGGCCAAAGTTTTGGAGTTTCAGCTTCAGCATCAGTCCTTCCAATGAACATTCAGGGCTGATTTCCATTAGAATGGACTGGTTGGATCTCCTTGTAGTCCAAGGGACTCTGAAGAGTCTTCTCCAACACCACAGTTCAAAAGCAATTCTTCGGCGCTCAGCTTTCTTTAGAATCCAACTCACATCCATACATGACTACTGGAAACACCATAGCCTTGACTGGACGGACCTTTGTTGGCAATGTAATGTCTCTGCTTTTTAATATGCTATCTAGGTTGGTCATAACTTTCCTTCCAAGGAGTAAGCATCTTTTAATTTCATGGCTGCAGTCACCATCTGCAGTGATTTTGGAGCCCAAAAAAGTCATCCACTGTTTTCCCATCTATTTGCCACGAAGTGATGGGACTGGATGCCATTAAATAACTAAAAAAATGCAGGTAACCAAAAAGAAAAGGGATCTAGCTCCTGCTACTTGGCTATTTCAACAACTTGGTCTTTTTTAAAAATATATTTCAAAAACGTGGCTCAATGAAACTGATTTTAAAGGGTAAACAGTAGGCAGGTGTATTTGCATTTTTAGAGAACGGCACTTAGAGTCTTAACCTCGACGTGGCAAAAGCTCTCCACCTCATTAAGAGATGTTGAAGTTGAAGCAGCCTTCTGTTCGGGACCTACATTTCAGCAATTTAGGAATATTAGTGAGCTGTGCAAGCCATTTCTATGAACAATGAAGGTGAAGTGCATGCCAGCATCTTTGAACAATAGAAAATGTGTTTACTGTGGCCCCTTCCCTTTGGGTATTTAAAGATTTAACTGAAAGCCACAATAATTGGCAGTCTGCTATTAATCTCATTCAAGGACTTGATTATGAATTTCATGGAATCTGAGTTTACTCTGGTCTAATCTCCCTATTTTGTAGTTGAGAGAAGCACAGAAAAACCAAAAGCTGTGTCCAAGTTTGCTTAGCAGAGAGCAGACTAACTCAGGTCTGGTGGTCTCTCAATCCAGTGCTCTTTTCTACAAAACCTTTAAGTTGTAATACATAGGATGCTGCTTCAGGACTGATTTTAGTTGTAGCTTTCAAATAGATTTCGGTTTATAAATGAACAGAATTATTCAATGTAGTATTTGTATCTGGCTCTGGGGAAAGTTCCTCAGAGTGAGGTTTGAATTATTTTTAAATCCGCTCAGGTGACAAAGAGTTAATAGCTAGAAACTGTTCTTTTATCTCTTTGTCTAAATGCTGCTTAAACTAAATGCCTCTTGATAGTAAGCCTTTGTGTTCAGAGCAACAAATGTACTTTACCCAGGGTTGTCTTTGGTTTCTGAGCTAATTTTATATCACAGGTGCAAGATTTACTTTAATTATCAAGATGAACAGCTGGGAGGGGTCAGCCTGTTACCCATCTGGTCCTAATCCAGCCAAGAGGCCTCTGTGCCCCATGCCAATATTTCCAATTGTCAGTGGCCCTGACTTTTCCTGTTGCTGGAGTTTTAATCTCATCTGCCAATTGTGGAGCTACTAAGAGATTCCCTGGCCCCCTAAACATCTCGCTCTCCCCCTCTCAGAAATTACACATACATACTTCTTTAAACAGGATCTCAAGATCTCAAGGTGTCACTGAAACCACCATTCAGCTGATCTCCAGGCCATCAGGGCACCAGCGTCTCTCAAAAGGACAAACTTTATTCATAATCCTGACTGGCATTTCTCCGACTGGGGGGACATTTAGCTGCCATTCTGGGAGGCTCAAGCTCATACATGGGGAAAGAGGAGAAGGGAAAAAGTGACCATAAAACTTATGCAGAGTACCATAACCTCATAGTCTTTCTGACCTGCAACAACCTAAGGTTGGTACAGCCATTATTTGGTTTGGGTTTTTTTTTTTGTTTGTTTTTTTAGGTCATCATTCCTTTTTTTTTTTTAAACTTAAGATTTACAATGTTGTGTAAATCTGTATAGCCACAGTGATTCAGTTATACACATATAAACATTTAAAAATACTCTACCATTATGGTTTATCTTAGGATATTGAAGTGGGGTACAAGATTAACATGCAGAAATCAGTTTCTTTTCTTTAATGATGAATTATCAGAAAAGGACTCGAAACATCCTGCTGCATTGCTGTGGCCCAACAAATATCTGGTCTTTGAACAGCTCCTCTCCTAATTTGTCAGTGTGAGCAGAGGTTCTTTTCTTCAGTACAAAATAGGGGCTTGGATTTTGGCTCTTAAACCACAGTTTAGCTCGATGACTTTTGAGTCTGCCGCCATGTTGGAGATGGTGGATGTTGAATGACAACTCTAAAAGGCATTTCGTTAAGGGTCTTGCAGGAGCATGGACATCAAACTATGTAGGCTGGGGGCTTCGATGGGAGACCGGCCTCCACTGTGTGATGACCTGGGCCCTCAGCCTGCTTCTGCTCTGACTTTGTTATGTGTTGGAGATTTTGAAAGGAAGGTTAAAAATGAATGACCTACTATAACTCCTTCACTTTACAGTAAGAACATCATTAGGGTGAAATGCTCACACCACTGGTGAGGTGAAGTCACTTCTGCACAGCCAAGGAAACAACAAAATGAAGATGCAGCCTACAGAATGGGAGAAACTATTTGTAAATCATATCTCTGATAAGGAGTTAATATCCAAAATAACACAGAGACTCATACAACTCAATACCAAAACAAAAGCAACCTCTCTCCCAAACAATTCAATTAAAAAATAGGCAAAGGATCTGAATAGACATTTTTCCAAAGACGATATACAGATGCCGACCAGGTACATGAAAATGTGCTCCACATCAGCATAATCATCATGGAAACATGAATCCAAACCATGGTGAGGTATAATTTCACAACTATTAGACACTGTTATCAGAAAGACGCGGTAAGTGAGTGTTAAACAAGGCTGTGAAGAAAACTGAATCCTCATGCATTATCAGTGGGAATGTAAATTGGTACAACCACTATGGAAAACAGTATAGAGATTCCTTAAAAAATACAACAGAACTACTATATGATCTAGCAATTCTACTTCTGGGTATTTATCTGAAGAAAATGAAACCACTAACTCAAGATACATGCACCTCCATGTTCGTTTCAGTGTTATTTACAATAGCCAAGCTCTGGAAATGACCTTAGT